CTGATGGCCCTGCTAGTGGGAGACAATTGTTGTACGCTAAATCATTACTTACAACAAAGAAATAGAGTATTCGTCCTCCCACAATTAACCTAGCTTGATGGGGATAAACTTGCAACAGCACAGCAAGGCAATATATACATAAGATCAGGATAACAAATTTGATCCCCGAAATCAACGGTTACTTCGGGTTATTTTTCTTGTGACGAAATCGCGCGGCGGGTGTTCCTGGTTTAATTATGAGCGAATTGTGTGACGCCCTACGGCGTGATTTATGAGTTTCTGGTCAATTTTCATCACCCTTTCTCGATCTAACTCAAATCAAGGTGTACCACGAGAGTGCAGCGCGATTGCGTGATACCACTCAGCGGGGCTTGGAATTGTGCATACTGTGTCAGTTCATTGCATGAAATTTATTCAATGCTGTTCCCCCCAACCTGACTGCAACATTACTCAGGAAGGCACTAATATTTTATTCTAGGGACGTATAACCTATGGAATAAGTTGAATGTGTGTGTAGAGTAAACTCCCGATTGTTTGGTGTTCCCGTAACTCGCATTTGCACTGAGCTTCTATACTTCCACTAAACGCAGAACCGATACGAAAGCGGTTTGATGGATTGGGTCGACAAAATGAAGTGCACTCGACTCAAATTCATCGAAAGTTGTTGTTTATTCCAACGCAGACAAAGGTGATCCCTGAAGTTTAAGCAAGACAAAGCTACCAAAGTTACGTTTGGGTGAATCCTCTGGCCAATACCTATCTAGGAAGAGCTGTCATTCCAATCACTTGTAAGGTAAACCCCATGGGGATTTCACACAATCTTTGCGGAAACTCGGGAAACTCATCTACCTGATAAGCACCAAGAAGGACGAAATCGACCGTGGGCTGTTGATGCAAGTTGAAGCATCCCAGCAACGACCATGAAGGTCTTCGAGAAATACACTCATTTGCAAATCAATTTGGTTCGCACGGGAGACTTAATTTAATCTCTCGTTTATGATATTCCACAACTGAATGTGCTGCACACAGGCCGCCTCATGATTCAGTTGGCGTGAGCACAAATGTCGCTTGTTGTTTCAGCTGGCACGATGTTCGAGATATCGCAGCATATTTTCACAAAGGAAACTACTCACAAGTTTGCTGAAAACTCTTTTGACAGCTCAGATCGGTTTTGCCCTTATTGCTTGGTTTGAAAATGAGTGTATTTCTCGAAAACAATGCAATTTGGGTTCAAGTAGATCATTCGGTTGACGGAAACTCGGGGACCGT